AGAGAGAGAGAGAGAGAGAGAGAGAGAGAGAGAGAGAGAGAGAGAGAGAGAACACGGAGAAAGAGAGAGAGAGAGAGAGACAGAGAGAGAGAGACAGAGAGGTGGGAAGAGGGGCAGAATCACGAAATAACGAAAGAGTTAACACATAGACCGAGGAAAGAGATGGAAGACAGTGAGAGAAAGAGTCTGGAAGTGGACAAAGCAAGAAATGTATAGAGGGAGAACTGAATGTTTTCATCCCCTCATTGATTCGGTAAAAACAGACATCCAATTCTCCATGGCTGCCAATATCAAGCCGCTGTGTGGGCCCTTATCGGGCACGAATTCCTGATATCCCTACAATCATTTCCGTAAACAAATGTTTTTCTTTCCCTTATATAAAAGATACAAAGAATTCTCTTTGACCAGGCTATTTTTTAAGCCAAAAAATGCCACAGGGGGGATTTTGAGTAGGCTACCCTAATTCAAATGATTATTCATTTGGCCTACCACGTAGATTAGAACTTTGTTAAAACCAAAAAAAAAAGGGAAAAAGGGAAGGGAGGGGCGAGGGGGGAGGGGGGGCGTGATATTATAAAGCATATTGGTACGATTGTTCACGGAATATAGTTTGCATAATGGTTTTTAAGATAGAAGTATGATGATATAAGATCAGTATGTGTAAAAACTGAATAATGGGCTGCTTTGCCAAACAAGGCTTTTAAAACAAATTTATTTTTGTGTAAGCAAGGATGGAGTTTATCTATGGTGGGCCACAAATAATCCTTCACTTCTTTCTAAATGTCTCTCTAGCTTTTTTTTCTAGTACTAAATGGCTGTTATCGTGCCGATGTCTTTGTCATGAACTCACACACAGAGGAGAAAGGATTGTTCTGTTAATGCTCAGGCGGGTTCCACTTGTGTTTCTTAATTTTGAAGTATCGCCCTGTTATTCCTGTTTGTCTTGCTTTCATCTTGCACTTAGTCTAAATGCCGGTTGTTCTGATGAATAAATGCTTTTTATATGCTCAAGGATAGGCAGATCAACAAATACAGAGGCAGAATGATATGCAGTTGTACCTTGATGTGTTGTGCTTTTTTCTAATCTCAACACATTTGCTACGCACTACGCAGTCAGTTCGTTTAAAGGGCAACTATCTTATGAGTAAGGAAATCAAAGCGGACTAATATGTAAAGCTGAAACTTCTGTTTATAGGCAGATAAAAAAAAATGACATAGTATAAAATATATTGAGAGATGGGAGGGAGAGAGAGAGGGAAGAGAGAGAGAGAGAGAGAGAGAGAGAGAGAGAGAGAGAGAGAGAGAGACAGAGAGAGACAGAGAGAGAGAGAGACAGACAGAGACAGACAGACAGAGACAAAAAAAGACAAAGACTGAGAGCGTATGTCTATGAGTTTACTTTTAGTAAGGTTTTACGGCGTTCGCGACTGCATAAGGTCATATGAGCGCCAAGGGGTAGATGTCAACAGAGAAGTCCAAACGGGGAATCAGGCTTAATCTACTCACCTCTCTAGTCTCAACAGCTCAATTAGTCTGCTTCGACTATCAAGGCACCCCGGAAAGAGCAGTTCACAAGAGAGTGACAAACATAAAAAAGAAGTAGAGGAAAATGCTGATAGTAAGGATGAGGAAAAAATGCAGAAGTTCCCCCTACGTTGTTCCGGCACAGTATGAGCATGACATTGATAAAACAGCCAATTTACAATTCTACTGTGCATAAGAACATGCTAATTATACTAATATCCCCCCTTTGAGAACTAAAGACAACTTCAGTCAGTAGCACTGCCCTGGTGGGGAAGTGTTTATGAGTGAGACAGAGAACTCATTTAAATCCCAAAACAAATCAATCGCTTTTTGCTTTATTAAGACAATCTCTCAGTGCGTCACACATCAACAAAACCAAGAGTAAAAAGCACCAGGAAGTGCCAGCCCAACAGTAACTCCACTCACCTTCCCGTTCTCTCCGTTAGATTTGAGGTCGTGTTGAAGAGATTTCAGCGTGCCTTGTAACCTGAAAACGCACAATAAAACAGGCAATGAAATTGATACTCCTACCTCTTTCAACACAAAGCAAATCACAAAAGAGTTGTGTGGAAAAAATTGTGGAGATTATTCATGTCTAAAAGCTGAAAGACTTAATTAAACTGCCTTGTCCATTCACAAGCAATGCTTTACATTGCTGTGCCGTGGAATTTTTTTTAAAACAACAACAATAAAATCCAGTTATCTTAAAATCTTAAATATTCCATTTGCTATAGTGTGAAAATGGTCACAAGGTATAGGATTAACGGCAACAATTAACAACACCATTGTTATGTTATTTAACAGGTGGGACATCTGATTTAACGTCCTTCTCCAAGAGGAACGAGCCAAATGGGAAATTCGTGAAATGTGCCTTTTCCTTGGACAAAACGTGACCGAGCAGAGGCTCGAACCGCTGAACCTGCAATTTGATCCAGTAGCCTAACAACTGGGCTACCGACGCAACCTATTTCAGGGTGTCCAAAGAGACACTGGACATTTATCAAGTAAAAGACATTCCAAAACTTGAAAGAACTTACCTTTTGTACCGCTCTTCTATTTTCTCCTTCTCCTTCTGGGCATCCTGAAAAACAAAAAAGATTTCCTTTGAACCGATATGACTATAAATAGTGCGGTCAAAAATTCGTGACCCAACTTTTCCTCAAATATCTCTTTAATGGGTGTATCAATGTTATCCATACTTCGCACAGCAGTTTGTATCAATTTAACTTTTCTTCATGAATTTATATAAAATACCATAAATCTCCGTCACGCAGAAAATGGGATTGCTCACAGCACGCACTGCTTCTCACACACATAATTTATGGTCTATGTCACAGCTCACGAATGACACTTTTTAATGGCAAAACTTGTTACAAGAAATTCATTATATAGTGAAGACATTTTTTGCACTAAAGTTTCTAAAAACAAAGTAAATCTTAGTGTACGGCTTCAACATCTCTATCAGCACTATATGGGTAGGTTATTTAAGAGGCAAGACCTCCGAATTTATAGTCCATCTCCAATAAGGCTGAGAGCCTTAAAAAACCTACAAAATTATCCAAATTCCAGAACTTCCATTCCAGGTTTCGAACCAGGGCTATACGCTCTGTAGTCTAGCATATTTCTAACTGAGCTAACGGATGGCCTTCGTTAGACGATGAAAACTCTAGAGGTAGATGTAGCCTATTGTTATGTGTATGTGTGTGGGGGAGGGAGGGGGTGTATGTATGTATGTATGTGTGTGTGTGTGTGTGTGTGTGTGGAGAGCGTGTATTCGAGTATGTGTGTGTGTATGTATGTGTGAGTATGCGCGAACATGTATAGGTTTGTGTATGCGGGTGTGTGCATGTATCTGTGCGCAAATTTATATTGTGTGTGTGTGTGTGTGTGTGTGTGTGTGTGTGTGTGTGTGCGTGCGTGCGTGCGTTTGTGGGGATGTGGGCATGGGTGTGTGCGTGAATGTGTGTGTGTGTATGTGTGCGGGGATATGTGTTGGGATGTGTGCGTGGATATGTGCGTGGGCGTGTGCGAGGATGTGTGCGGGATGTGTGTGTGTATGTGTGTGTGTGTGTGTGAGTGTGTGTGTGAGTGTGTGTATGTGCACGAGGATATGTGCGTGGATGTGTCTTTGCGCGCACCTCCGCGTGTATGTGTATCTCTCCCTCTATCTATATATATCTCACCATTATGTCCTCCATCTCCTCAATGATATTCTGTTTCTCAATGGCGAACATCTTTCTCTGCTCCTCCTCACGTATACGCCGCACGTGCAGTTCGCCAGACAAATCCAGAACTTGTTCCTGAAAAACAACAACAGAACATGATGACTTTTTACTTTTGTTTTACTAGGAGTTTTACGCCACTTGAAACGGCGTTTGTAACATAAATAGATCAAAATAAATAGTGCCGAAGATTAGAGATGTTACAATTAAGAGAGTAATAAACACAAAAAAGAAGGAGGAAGAGAAAAAGAGAACAATAGATGTCCGACAGGAAAGAGCAAACAACACCAGAGCACCTGCCACGCCATTCACATGCTGACTTAAACAGAGACTCAGTCAACAATAAACCCATTTTCCGCGTTAATTTTTATGAAGGTGTTTTACACTCCCCCCCCCCCCCCCCCCCACCCCCCCCCCTTCCATACAATTAAGATAATTTAGGAGGCGGGCTTCGAACCTGCCTGTAGGGGCCAAACCAAGCTGAGAGGGATGCAATGTCTCAGCAGAAAAGAGGAGATACTCGATAAAAAATTCTCCCCGAACATGAATCGAACTCACGTCTTCTGCGTGCGATGGCGAAGTGCCTGATGCCTTCCCCACGTCAAAGCCGTGAAAGCACAGGCTTAATGAACGCGAAGAATTTAGAATTGTGTACGTATACGTGCATGTGTACCTACTTTGCAATCAAACATGATATCAACTGTTTGTTTATTTGTTTGTTTGTCTGGGGGGGTTGTTTGAGTGAAGAGAGCACATTTACACAAGTATGGTCATTAAATGCAGGGGAAAAGCAAGACAGAAAGATGGGAACAACACAGGGAACGAAAAGAAGTGGGACCTACCAATAGTGCAGCTGATCTGACTTTTTTCTTCTTTTTTCGGTTTTTTTTTTTCTTTCTTCTTTTTTTTTAAATATATTTTTTTAGTTAAATACCGTTTTAGTAAAAGTTTAACGGCAATTGGAACACAATTCGGTCATATAAGTGCCGAAGATGAGAGGTGTTACAAGAGATAGAAAACACAATAAAGAAAGAGGAGATATGAGGACGATATAAAATATGTTGTACAGGAAAGAAGGAAAAAACCACATCAGAACATTCGCCAACCACCCACAGACAGGAATAACAGGAGGGAAAGTAAAAAAGTGGCGCGCTCAACCAACCACTTTGGGGGGGGGGGCATTGGAGTGGAAAAGGGGGCGGGGGACGAATTATGAATACAACAGAAAGTCTGTAAAAATGTTCTGTGAAACACAACATCTAAGTACTCATCAACTGCTCCGCCGTTGGAGGACGTGGAGTTAAAAGTTTCTAGACAGTCTGTACAACAACGGTTATATTTCGCTGGAGATGAAATATGGATTCATAAAAGGCCCACCACAAACAGTACAAGGAGTTGACCATCCGTCAACTACCAGCATACTACAAGAAGTCCAGACGGAAGGGCAGCCAAGTAAGGAAGGTGCAAGGATAAAGGTAAGGCGAGTTATAAAACACAAAGGGGATTGGAGAACGCGGGGCGCACTAGCGACGCTCCCCCGGCTACTCCCGATGACAACACTTTGTCTTTCTCCGATAATCCCCCTTTACTGCAACTCTGTCGTGACAAATCACAGCATAAACCACAAAAACCCGCAACAAAGAGAAGATGTACTCAGAAACGCACATAAACTGTTATCTATAAGCCTCACAGCCAGGTGAACAGGAATGCTCGCGTGCAAAAAAGCCCTTGAAGTCAGGGGTCATTTCCTGGGCAAAAAAGAATGTACATCTTTGTTAGCTCCCTTCGCTGGACATCAGCCACCATATTATGCCCCGTCAACTTGGGCAGCGGATCATAGATCATGTCTATAATTCAGTATCTTTGACACTTTCTGGACACAGTCTTAAGCCCCCTAAGCCTCCTTTCACATTAATGCCAGGAAGAACGAGTTCACTTTTATGAACATGCAAAATAACCTTGAACAAGTACCTCACAGCTGACAGTCGAAAGGGCCCATCTTCCACAATATACTGTAGCAGAAAGAGCGTTCTGGCTCTGGGTCAACGCCTAGCAGGAAAACTAAACAAATATTCATTTCAAAATCTCCCGGAACAGACATGCAGGATATTAACATTAACATCTTGTAGCCAAACTATTTTGTGACGACATTTCAGAAAGATCAAGAATTCGCCAGGTCATAGCGCTCGCGGAAAACGGACGTCACAAGTTGATGAATTATGGAGAGCTGTTTTGTCGTGACGTCAGACTCAAAATAAGCGCACAGAGCAAACAGAACCAAATTGTTGAAGGGTGTGCACATGCGCGAATTTTATAAGTTGAAAATAGCTGCATGATTACAATCGACACAGGAATCCTTTCACAATTACTTATCTGAAGTGAGGATATCCACATCGGAGGAGGTCCCCACACGCAAGTCTAACGACGCTTCCACGAAAACAGTTTTTTGCTCGAACCCTTATAACTTACATATTCTGACGTATTGCAGTACAAGGCAGTATGTTTTATGGTTCAAAAAGGGCTCCAAACCAAAATATCCATAGGATTGTCCTTCCTTGTCCTCTACAAGCAGTACTATTCACATGGTGAAAGGGCTTAAAAGGGCTACCATTGCTCCATATGTCCAGTCAGCTGTCAGGTGGTATTCTACTAGCAACCCCCGGGGCTGAATTACGACACCTGTATTACACTGGTTCAGCGTGGAACTATAACAAAACATGAGGTCACTGAGTGCATTGTCTTTCCTATTGTTAGGTATTAAAAGGAATTACAGCTACGAACCCTCCCCCCCCCTTCCATCACCTCAACAGGCTACTTTAAAAAAGGCTTTTCTTTTCCTATTTCTTCTCCTTCCCCTTCCCTTCTAAAGATATTTACAACTAAAATAAAAAACTAAAATCAAATGGACACGAAAGCGAAAGCCGCAGACTGATCATAGCATAATAGAAATGAGACTATATAAATTATCCATTCAATTTCCTTAATAACCAAATACTACGATTAATATTTGTGCGTGTCTGCATCGAACAAAATTACCGCCAGGACCATAAAGCAATTGCTCAGTAATCTTAAGGCCAACAACATGGTCGTTTTAAGCTTCTGTCATCATCTTGGACAACGTTCCACGACAAATTAGTCTAGAGGCCACTACGTTCTTCTTCGGCATGCCTGGAATGTAAATACGACAACACACGTCGCTCACAAAATACTGAGTCACCTCAAGGAGAGTTGTCATTCTACACACAAATCTACGGTCTCTCTTAACACTAACAGCCCACGCCCATTCGCTGGTACATGATAGAGTCTATGATATGAACCATTCCGCAAGTTACAACATCATTATTGCGGCATGCTCTCATTGCCCTTACTACTCTAGCTATCTGCACCTGGTAAACCCAAGCTACAAAATATTTGGCATGTACACAAACACATACATACACGCACGCACACAAGTGTGCACACACAGTGTATATGCGTGTGTGTGTGTGTGTGTGTGTGTGTGTG